GGTTCAAACACCAAAGGATTCTAAAACTGTTCTTTACAATGATAACTGGTCGTGAATTATTTATTTTTGCATCATCTTGTTCACATGTTTTCTATTGACTCTTAAATCTTCACCAACAAAATAACTCAACGGAACAGTTCGTAGTTAATGGTCGGTCGGATCATAGTTGCCTACAATAATCAGCACATCCCATTTCGGTGATTTACACACGGGAAGCTTCTTAGGACCATGAACTGAAACCAACAACAACACACAATACATTCGCCCGAACTGCCCCTGTCCAGCTCCGAGAAACTGTGCTCCATTTCTTCAATATTTAATCTTCAGTGTTCAATCTTACACTGTGCTCGTTGCTAAACAGCATCCTTGAAGGTTGCGTTGTTGTAAAACGGTGGAAACGACGTTCACCTGCCCCATATCGTCTCGACTTCTCGAGAACACAAAACGGAGACATTCTGTAGCAGGTTCGTGTCAACCGCGACGCATTGCACCAGCCCCGAGTACGTTCTAATTACAAGGTTCTCACTGTTAATGGTGTAGTCTTTACCCAGGAGGTCACCAGTTGTGTTAGTCCCACCAAGAAATCGGGGCCGTTGTGATCAGTAACATCTACGTATTTATTATATGGCGGGCGGTGTATGCGAGTTCACCTCATACTGCGAAGGTTGCTTGCATTGTGAATCGATCGTGCATAAATGCTCGTGGATAAGATGACCACTGGATTTCTATCGTTGGGACCTATGTTTTGCCACCCAAAAAATTCGATAGCCAGATCCAGGGTTGTTGGTTTAAAATCTTTTTACCTAACAGCTAACTTATCATTCTAATATTAGAGGACTGCTACCTAAGGAATAGTTCGAAAATGTGATCAACTTTTTGAGGACCATAAAAGTTAGCCGATTTGCATACTGCACGGGACTGATTGCGTGAATAAAACGGAACTATTGTCACAGAACAAAGGGAGGATTCACAAAGATTGATGAAGAGAAGGACAAAACGGTTAACGTCAAGAAAGGGTTGTCTAAGATAGTTTGGAGATAACAAGACATCGTTTTTAACTGACTGATAGCAGCGGTATCACATACCTAAATTACCGAAACAAAGCTGATTGTTGTATCCAGTTCTCAGTATGCACAATTTACCCGATCAACGAATAACGAAAAGGTTGGGACAAATCGTGGAGGCTGTTAAAATTTACAGCCTGCACGATACCTTTGAATTTCGGGACACAATTGAGGCGCTTGAGGTGTCGAGAAAGTTTAGGTTTCCCCGAGTAAGTCTTCCGCTTTCATCAACACACTCTTCGTGAAAACTGTAGACCACCGATTCAATCAGATTGAATATTTGTGCGCCCACTGAAGACCTTTGCAAACTACTTTATGCACGAATAATATGCGATTCCAGCTCGGTGGTGAGACATGTCGACCAAAAGGCAGGATCGCGATGGACTCTCACCTAACTACAATCTGTCGGATGTAATTACCGCTAAATGGGAAAGTGAAATACAAGACGATCCCATAAGAGAATGGCTTAGATTGGCACTATATGGATGGTATCATTTGCGTGAGTGATACCTATAAATGTACCATTGCTCTGTTAGGTGAAGTAAACGAAGCCGCAAAGAATATTTAGTCGTAGATTGATGAGAAACGCGGAAAGACAGAGATCAACACACACTATGAACATTGTTTTGGCATGAATGAATCTTTCGGATTCATCTAAGCCATCCAGTCAAAGAAAGTTAAACATTCCAACTACTGAAAAAAACTCGATTCCATTAAACAAACCTGGGTTGTGCGTTCGTAAAAATGGCCTCGGATTTAGCATGCATCATAAACGCGTGCGAAACCATTAATGTATTGAGTTAATCGGCAATACTGATGAGACTTGCAGAACGATTTGAACTCAAATACACTCCAAAGATATAACACACCTGTTCCTCGTTCCACAGACTCATGCCATTTTTTGCCTATAGAAGAGTAATGCATTCAGCAAATGAAATAAGCGCCTAGGACAGAGGCTTTCACGTTGTGGTCACCAAGCGGAGCTCGATCTCGAGCACGCTCGCTCGGGTTGTACTGACTGCATACGTTGAGTGCTCGTGGCCAGACAGCGCCCAAACTAAAAATCGATAATGTGTTGCATAGCTAGGTGATTTCTTTCAAGGAAACAATGCTAAATGAGTATGCCCATACTTATCCCCGCACTCGTATAGGCAGAGTTACGGCATTCCATTAAGACGCTGTGTAAGCGAAATAGATTTCTAAGTGAGTGGTTAAATAGTGCTTAAACAAATCAGAGTTGCCTCAACTGCGGGTGCTCTTCGAACTCTGGTTAACCGAATGGCGATCGCCTTTGTGAATTTTAAGCAAATCTCCCCCAACCCCGCGCATGCACTACTACTACTGTTCCCATAAGTAGCAAGTCTTGCTTCCTTCCCATCGCGGTGTGCGCTGGATTCAGACCGGTTCTTCTATGAGCTGTGTGGTTCGTTTGTTGTTTCCTTCAACACTAGCTAAGGCGGAATCTGAAGTGCTTGTACTATGATCACGTTGACGTTGTTCACCGCTGGCAAAGACAAGCTAAATATCATGTGCTCTCCACTTTCGGGCTTTTCAATTAGGATCCCATTGTTCACGTCACAACTGCGGCACCACGACTAACCACTGGTTGAAGTTTATTGACAAAACCGGTCTGAGACTTTGACGCTCACAAAAATTCAGCCGATCATCAAAACACATTTCTAATTACAAACACCAACACGATATATCCCCGGAATACCCACTGTCCTTTCGGCTACTGGATTTATGTACACCACTGCCGACCTGATTAAAAATCGATTCTGATCTTGTACCGACGTGTGAAGCAGATTTACCATCACCTAGCATAATTACCCATGAGTACGATTTGGATTCATAAGGTTTTTCAGACTAAACTCCAGAATTTAGGACGCTCGTTCCCTTTAGCGAACGATAGAACCTGCTAATTACGGCGTCAAATCATTGTTATTAAATGCCCCAAAAGACTGTGATAAAGGATCGCTCTCCAATCAGATCCCAGATGTGATTTAAGGGGTAAGACAGAAATTGGCGATAAAATAAGCATTACACTAGATCGAACATGCTCGCGATTAATATGACTGCGTTGCTGGGTTGGTGCATCGGGTGAGAGGGCAGAATATAGTGCTCAAGACTTCAGATCACGCTGCCTCTGCCTAATCATGCACACAGCTTTTATAGACCAGGCCGTTTGAAACCCAGGTGATAAAATCAGCAGACATCAGTAACACGAGTCATTGGCTGGAACCCGTGAAATGCCTTAACAAGTGACCCTACACACAGTGCGGACATGATAGAAAACGGATCCGGGAATGCCTAATATTGTATGAGAAAGAAACTTTATACAAAGGTGATGCTTGGACCGGTTCATTCGTTCATCTGGTGAAGATGATTGTTTCCTGAACTAACTAAAAGTAATTAGGCAGGAAAGCACACGTGCATGCGAGACACTGAATGAAGACAGAAAGGGAGAAGAGGATGAAGACGATCACACAGATTGACCCAACAATTCGAGTTGACCTACACATAAGATCAAATCATGCACAGTATACACAAGGAGAAAAGTTGACGATGGCAGGTTGGGTTCCGAAGACAAAAATACGTGTTCGAACAATACGACAGCCCGGGACGGAGGAAGGATAGAGGCAAATGACAGGGAACCTGTAGCAGAAGAAACAGCAACACTGGTGTGGTGTATACGAGAGGACGGAGATACAGTTACAGGTTGTTCGATTGAGGACGGGAAATTTGGGTAGGCGACTAGGCGGGGAAGGAGAAGCAGTGAGGCGCAAGGGGAGGGGACGGGGTGGAGGTGAACCAGAAATCAAATCCACTAATGTTCATCTGAAGTAGAGGTCGAGACAGTATGTGAACAGCAAAATGTGAGCAGTGTAAAGAAACGATCCCGGGCAAGCTTTAACCTAGGGTTGGCGCCTAATCGGACGAGTGGGAAAACCGGTACACGAATGGGTGAGCGGTTAGCCGACAAGAGAGCACACGAGAGAAATGCAATTTGATCAAAAGGTAAACAAATAGTGCATTTTGAAGTATAGATACCATTGCCACGTCATTTTTATTCGCCTATAGACAGTTTTATTGTGCACCATCAAACCTTGCTCGGGTGTGATGAAGGCGGGGCAGAGAAGAACGAGGGATAAACTGAGGCACTGGCATCACTGTCCAGTTTCGAAGAGTCTAATGTCTGGATACAGGGCAATCACAATTAGAACGAAAGAACAAGACACACAGGAGTTTTCAGTGGAAAGGAAATTGAATATTTGTGGGAATTTGTGTTGCGATCGTGGTGCGATTGGGTTGAATAAACGCACGCATATGCAGTCTGTATACACTGGATACTCTCCTCAGAAAGTGAAAATGACACAGTGAAATGGATCAATGACTGTATCTGTGAGGACGCGATTTGAAAAAAATCACTGAAAGGTGTGTAATATTTGTAAATAATATAAATGTGGAGGCAGAAGAGACTAGAGTGCATGTCGTGTATCGACTCGAAACATCGGCACCGTTCAAAAGACCAGAAACAAGGGTAGAAGCATCGAGGGGGAGGGGTGGAGAATTTAGGACAGGAACAATGAATACGAGATGTTTTGTTTGTTGTTTGTGGTCATATTTGTGGGATTACGAGGTGCGGGGAGGGGTAAGAAGATAAAAAGCCGAAGAAGTATGATCGGTGCGTGTGTGTGTGATGAGGCAAGAAACAGTTCGGAATGTGCGTGATTCAAAATGACTCAGTCACGGTGGGTTAAAAAGAAAAAGGCGTTTGGAGACCGAGGACAAGACGGTAAGGAGTGGCACGGAAAGGTAAAGGCAAAGATCAGTGATCAATGTGCTCTCGGATAGGAGTGAAAGGAAAATTGATCATTCCATTTCGCACATGTAAGTGTGCAAGACAGTGGGTACGGGTGTGTGTGCACCGGGTGATCAAGGTACAGGGTCGAGATAATCTTTGAGAAAAGATACTAACTCTTGGCGACCCGCTTCCAGATCGACTCGCTGAAGGAAATCAGTCTTCATGAGCTGCACGTAGTTCGCTCGCTTCTGTTCATCCTTCACAAGACACATGGAGGTGAATGTACGTAATTCGTCTGAATATCGGGAGTCCGGCGGTAATCGAGGGGGTTCTTGTTGAACAACCTGAGAATAATGAATACATCCGAGAAAAAGAATGAAGACAATTGTGCTTGCAGTATAGAAAGGTTGTAGGCATTAAATGAGTATATATATATATATAAAATACACTTCCTGGGTACAAGTATATGAATGCATTGGCAAAAGACTACCGGATATGCATGCCTGACGAGCGGCAAGAACCGTGAAACCGGCGACGGCGATTTAAACCACTTGACCAGTACCACCCAAAAACTAAAACTTGTTCTCGTCCGTCAAAATTTTCTCAAGTAACGCGCTACCGAATACATCTGATGGACAAAGCGGAAATATTACCTGTCCCCGGCAAGTGTTTTCATTGAAGTGAGAACGCGAAAAGTCAATATCCCTGGTTGTAGTCGGGTAGACGAACCACACACAATTAGCTCATTAGATGAGCTGAAGGACCTTTCACTAAGAGACATACGAACCGACTTAAGTCTAGGGCAACAGGGTGTATTGAGCACCCTCAACGAATGAACCACACACAAAAAGGCTTACAACTCGACTGAATGGGTATCGCTATTGCGTTAAAGGAATTAACACAACGACCGCTGTCTTAGGAAATTCGCTTTCGTTAGCTAAAGGCTACCATTGTGAACACACAAAAACTAGTTTTACTTTGAAAACATCAAGTGACACCCATGCACAAATCATGTTAGGAAGACGATTGTATCATGGTCGATTTGGATACAGAAATGAAATAATTACGATTACAACCATAACAATAATGATATCGGATATTGCATCACTAACCACATCTCACCCGATCTGATCGGTACTATGGATGGATTCATCGGCGATCACACCCATCCTAATGGAATTCCAACGGTAGTGAGAACAAGCGAATATGAACCTCTAAATGATGGAACTCATGCTTACCTAACCTTAGACCATTTTCGCCAGTGCAAAGATCCGTTGGCTTCTATGGAAGAAGCCATGAAGAATCGACCATTGCAATCCAAGAGGTTAAATATTTATAATTTCTCGCCAACTTGAACCGCCTTAACTAGTGATTCATTCCGGTGATAATTCATAATGCTGAGGCCAAATTTGGGTTAGTTCCAGTAACAAAACAGCAGATCAATATGTGATCATGAGGGTCAACACCATTTGCGTTGCTCCAGCGTCTGTGTGTACGGATTTCGCAAAGATTTTACTGAACTCATAAATTTCACGAAACGGTATACCACAGAGAGAGAACTAAATTCTACTACACTGTTAGAGAAATACGTTCAAAACGCTCATTCAAGTTCTTCCAGTGATTGACCACGAACTCAAACAGGGTTAGTCCCTAAGAAACGGAATGGTGCACAATCATAAATCAAACAATTCTGTAAGAACAGAACAATAGACATTCATTGAGAAGCTGTTTGTAATTGCTCTCCGACTCCACCAGCCCACTACAGAGGTTGTCCAACTCGATGGTTCACGAGTACAATGAAAGCTCATGAGGTATCACTCAAGCACTAAGCATTAGATTAGTTTAAGAATTACACGGCAAGACCCAACCTTCCAAATTGATTGTGAGGTATGAATCTCACGATAAAAGCCGATGGGAGTGATATTTCGTTGGGATATCCTCTGATGATGGGCGCCACGTATATATATAT